ACTCCTAGTCTCGTTCACATCTTGGATGGAAATGTTGAAGGTGAAAGATTCTGGAAGCTTCAGAACTGAGTAAACCAATTGAAATGAGTGAGAAGTCAGAAAGATATTGTCACATCTCTCCCTGCAGGCATTGCTCAGCTGCTGCGTCCTTTATTTGGGGCACTTCTCTGCTTTTAGGGAACTCGCTGCAGAGACCCACTAAGCTCTTAGCCCACTTTATAGAGGAAAAGAGGAGAGACACTCTGAACACAGCTAATCTAACCCATCTGGCGAAGAGCTTTGGGTAGAAATCAGAGATCTTTGATCCTGGCCCATTCATTTCAGCTTTCCCTGAGCTCCCTCATCTTCAACTTCAAGGTTGTCAAATATGGCCTCTCTCTGGGCCTACCACTGCATTCCTGCTTCAGCAATGGGCCTGACTCCCTCAGCTTTGGAAAATAAGAATCCCTCTAAGTGCCTTCATATTAATTCTGTCTCTTCATCTTCACTCAGATTTATATATATATATAAAATATCTATCTATCTATGTATCTATCTTCCTATCTAGCTATCTAGCTATCATTCTTTGGTATATATTTCATGTAGCCTTAAGGGTTTTTTTTGTTTTGTTTTGTTTTTAATCATTAAAATTGAATTATTGACCTGACCAGATGGTTGAGTAGTTGGAGCATCATCCTGTACACCAAAAAGTTGCAAGTTCAATTCCTGTCAAAGCACATATCTAGGTTGCAGGTTCTGATCATTACTCTCTCTTTCCTCCCTTCCTCTCTAAAATCAATAAACATATCCTCTGGTGAGGATTAAAAAAACAAAAACAAAAAAATAATTGAATTGTGGATACAGGCAAGCAAAACATGACAGTCCTATTTTCATTCTGTTTACTTAATTTTCTTTTTGGTGCAAAATGAAAGTTCTAGAAGCCTATAATATAAACAGTGAATTTTTTAATAGCCTATGATAATATTTAAATCAAGCTTCTGAAAAAATTGATATATTCAACACTTATGATATCTTACATTTCACTTTGTTCATAGTTGTGTTTCTCTTATCTTCACCAAATTGATTTCCTCAGATGAACTTTAGAACCGTACTATCAAGTTCCAAAAAAAATTATAAATGGCTGATTGGAATCATTATATCTACTCATTTTAGGACAAAATAAAAAGGTTGTGACTTAAAGGAATTTGTATGCCTCTTGCTTTAGTCGAGTATTCTTTTATGTCTTTATAAAGTTTTGCACTTTTTTTTTATTTTTTTTACATACTTGGCTTGCTCTTACCTAGAGAGAGGTATTAAAGACAAATAGAATTGTCCTTACTTGTTGATTTTCCTTTGCATTTTTAACAATTTTAAATTGGCACATAGATGTTCTACTATCTTGGACAGACATTTTATTGTGGATTTTATTTTTAATTCACTAGAGATGTCATTCTTTATTTTGCTTAGTGCTTTTCCATCTTCAGTATAATTTTGGCTGATATAATTTTATTCCAACTTTGTTTCTACTGTTTGCCTGATAAATCTTTGGACTTCTTTGAAGAAATGTCATTTTGATTTAAGCAGTTCCCTTTCATTTATCATGTTATTGGATTTTATTTTTAAGCACATCCTGAAGGTATTTGTCTTTGAATAGGAAAGTTTAAACAATGTATTGTCATGGTAATGTGGTTGTAGTTCAGGCACCATATTTTTTGCTTTCCATTATTTTCTTTGTGGATCAAATATTACACACATTCTCTCTCTATGAAGAGATATGTTTGGGTATTTGCTTTTAAGAAGCATTACTCATTTATATTACCTAATTACCAAATAATAAATGAAATGTCCTTTGATAACTCCAAATATAAGAAATTTCTATCCATCAGTTATGATTTTGTTGACAATGCATCTTACATGTTTTACTGTTTGCATTTCTGCCAATACCATTTGAGCTCATTCATGTCACAAAAGTCTGTAAATGGCAGGAAAAGCCTATGCTTTATACTGGGATATCTTGGTCAATTTTCTTGATAGATCTAGCACCCCCATCCTTTGCATTAATAATTTTTGCTTTTATTGCATTTTAAAAAAAACAATGGGATTAGAAAATTGTGGGTGTTGTTTATTATTCCTAAGTCACATAAAGACCTGTAGTGCCCTTTTCTAAAGGCAGATTAAACAAAGAGCAAAAATTAGGAACAATTTTTGTCCATTTTTGCATAAAAGCTCTGGTTCAAAAATTTCACTTGCACAGTGTAGTTGGAATGCTAGAGAAAGTGCCTATTGAGTGCTTTCCAAATTAGGTATTTTAATTAATATTCAACAGTATGCCAGCTCATCATTTATAGCTATACCATGAGTGAGCACAAAATTGTTCATCTTTTGAAGAAGGTGCCTGACCAATCTCACAAAACCAGGTGTGTTTTGAACTAAACCCTCTTTGCTGTCAAGATTGCTGTCAAAATTTTAAACTGCTTAGTTTATTGATAAAAGGAAAACCTCCTCAGCAGAGGGCTAAAAACATAAGATGATGACTTAGAAAGTTGTCTGGCATTGAGTATACAGAGAACAATAGAAAACATTTTGACTGTTTTCCTCTCTTTGTGTCCTGAACGCCAGTCTCCTTGCTGACTATGTCAAATCAATGTGAGTCTTTACAAAGAAACATTAACTCATCAGTGAATTGGGCCAGTTCTGAAGGTTACTTCTTTATACTGTGGGTATCATTTTAGGTACATTTATCTCATTTTATCAAATAGTTTGTCAATGATTGAGGGTGAGGGAACATTGCTTACTGAGTACCATAATAACGTGCAACAAAAACTTAATTGTGGTAGACATCACCTTAGGCCACTAGTGATTCAGCACATGGCCAAATCCGATGGTTAACAGAATTCTATGCGACCACTAGTTACCAGGGTGAAAACACTCGACTTTTATTTTTTGGTTCAGAGATCCAGGAAGTAGTAAAATACGAAACCAGATACTAACCTGACTCACCCTTCCCCTGCCCTGCTATCTGACTCATATACCTGACTCCAAAGAATCTTACGTAATTCTGAAGAGGGAATTATCATCTGAGTCTGAAATTAGCATGTTCCATAGAACTATTTGAGGAGAATATTTGAAGGATGGTGAAGAGAAAGATGAAAGTGTGAAGTTGGAAGGGTATGTGGCTAACTATATAACTCAAGCCTTCTAGTATATCACCTATTTCCTGGGAAAAAGGTAGGTACTTTGGAAGAAGTCAGTACTTTTAAAATAATCGATATACCATTTTGTACTTAGAATACAGTCATTCACAAAAGTCTATAGAGTGTCACTGGTGTTCCAGGGTGTCTCTCAGGTATTTCTGATGAGAAAGTGGGACAATTAGGGGCTCCACTTACCAGGCATGCCTATTCATGTAATTCAAGGCATCATTTTCTACTCAGTAGTTAAGTGCTTTCATATAACATTATGTGATATAGTTGAGGAAGACATACGAATGCCAAATACTTCCAGAATCCCATTTAATTTATGGTGTACATCAGAGGTCAGCAAACTACACCCAAAGAACACATTTGGCCCACTGCCCGTTTTTGTAAATAACATTTTATTAAAACACTGCCATACCCATTCACGTATTGCCCATGGCTGTCTTCATGCTACAACAGCACATTTAAGTAGTTGGGACAGAGATGGTATGGGCCGCAAAGCCAAAAGTATTTATGATCTGGCTCTTTACAGAAAAAGTCGGCCAATCATTTGTATATATTACACATTAGTAACAAACCTATCTATCACCAAAGATACCATAGCTTCCTTTCTTTGCAACAATCACACAATCCAGGATATATAAAATACATTTTGTTAGAATGAAATCTCACTTCCAAAGAATTTAAGAGAATATCTGTTCTTCAAATTCAGTATTTATGTCTCAGATTTCCCTCCTAGAAATAAATTCCCACTTAAAAAAAAAATACACACACATTCGAAAAGTGTTCTTTTATTGTTTCTAGTAACATATATTGTATAAATACTCTATTTTTATATGCCCTTTTACAATCACGGTATAACTTAAGAGATTTATCCTTAAAAAGAAATGTATAAAAATAAATATGTTATTATAGGCATTTATTACATACTATAGTCCTTCTCAGAAGGAACACACAAACCAATACTTATAAAGTACGTAGAATTCATAGTAACATATTTTACTATATACACATGGAAAAAGTCATCCCCTTTCATAGTAGAAGAGCTGCACAGACATTCACCAGGATATGACTGCTGGACCAGCTGCTGGGGATGGACCTGCTACCCCTCAGTGGCCTCCCCATCACAAGACAAATGACCTCCCTGTCCCCTAACAATGGGACCCCCACGGTGCTCACACCCCCTTTCTTGTTCTGGCATCACTTCCTTTTGTGTGTGATCCCGCCATCTTTCTTGAGACTCCAGCTGGTTCTTCACATGCACATCCTAAGGTAGCTTACACAGGGAGGAAGGGAGGTGGAGGTACCCAGCTGGGGGGGTGCCTGCTCTGGATGTACCAGCACCCGACGCATCGCTGTTCTCCCCTTGGAGACTCAGCGCGTTTTTTACAGACACAGGACTTGTTTCTTCATCCAAACAAATGCACAAAGACAGGAGAATGGCGCAAAACGGTAATTGATGGAGTCACTGGACATGTTCAATGTTTTTCTCCATGGTGGACATTCTTCAGTTCTGAACTCTCGGCAGAAAAGATGACACTGACATTCTCTGAAACCACCGCGATCATAAACAGTGTTGGCCAAAGCTTCTCTTTGGACTTCCTTCTCCCTCCATGGAGAGACATAAAACAAGCCACGCTTTCTGCTAAGATCTCATGGTTCTCCTGCTTTGCCTTTCCCGACCCCCAGGACACCAAGATTTGAATGAGTACCAGGGAAAGGGATGGTAACATCACCAGCAAGGTCTACTGGATCCCTCCAGCCTTCTTGATTTCAGTGCCTCAGCCCTTCCTCCCCTCCTCCTCCCCTCCACCCTCAGCCCACTTAGCTGCACTCGGCCGTGGTGCAAAAGTCTATGTAATGTTTGGGTTTCTTTAAAGGATCGCAGCTCTCGTGGGCCAGCACCCCGCCATCGTGGGACAGACACTGCAAGGTCCTCTTTTTGTAGCCCTTCCCACAAGTCTTGGAACAGGGGGACCAGTCCCCCAGCTGCCAGTGGGGGCAGGGCAGGTCCGCGCAGGGCCGGGCGCTGGCCGGCTTCACTTCCTTGGCACACTCGGAAGCAGGCTGCCCGTTGAGGTCTCGGCACTCCACCAGTCTCCTCTGCACCCCCTGCCCGCAGGACTTGGAGCATTCGCCCCACTCCCCGATGACCCACTCAGAGAAGGTCGGGATGGCGTTGAAAGGCTCCTTCTTCTTCTTCACGAAGTAGGTGTATTTAATCTTGGGCCGGAGGGCATTGCCCACCGTGAGGACCTGGATGGTCAAGGGCTCCTTGAGGGGGCTGAAGCTGCGGATTCTCTCCAGCGAGGCAGAGGAGCCGCTGTACCTCAGGGCGGTGCCCTTGTGCGTGATGTCTTGCTCTAAGGTGGACAGGGTGAAGTCGCCGTTCAGGATGTAGGTGCCATCGGCGGCTTTGATGGCCAGGAAGCTGCCCGTGTTTCTGGATCCCCTCTGGTTCCGCTGCTTCACTTCGATGTTGGTGGCTCCCGCCGGGATGGTGACGATATCATGGTAGCCAGGACTGCAGGCAAGAAGGGCAGATAGAGAGATCGCTCATTCACTGGCTACTATAAGGCTTAGCTAATCCTCTAGAACACAATTTTTAACCAGACCTGTCAAAAGTGACACCTAAGGGACAGGACCTTCCGGGGTACGGCGTTCTCAAACTTACTTGGAACTGGTCGCTGATCCTGATATCTTCTTGCATGTGGATCCATTTCCTCCACAAATGCCACATTTGTCAAACTTCTTCTTGGAGTCTATGATGCGATCGCAACCAGCTTTCACGCACTGTCCTTGCACGCAGACTGAGGTGGAGTCGGGGCTGCAGGGCGTACCGTCTACCACCTGAGAAAGGAAGGACAGGTGTCTGGTGTCACACATTAACCAGGGTGGGCATGGAGCTATAATGTCAGAAATGTCCCTCATTAACATTACATCTCTGACTTCCTGAGCCTCGCCATAAAACAGCACTCTATACATGCCGTATGCCACCTTCTCTGCTTTTTTTCCCCATAGTACATATTGACATCTGAAAAAATTACACATTTTTTAAGTATTTGTTTACTGACCTATCCATCTTCTACCTAAGATGAAGAAAAGCAGAAATGTTTGTCAATTTTTTATGGCTGTCTCTTCAGAATAATGCCTGAATAAATAGGTGCTGAATAAATCACTTACTAAATATTGAATTTGCAAGTGGGGAATATTTTTATGGCCTACAGTGATAATGACACATGAGATTTCAACCAAACTCAATACCATGTTCTACCTCAGCCAGTCTATCCCCTCAGACAAACAGTAAAAGGATGCTTTTGCTGGTTTCATATATGTATTCTTAAACACAAAGGCATCAAAGCTCAGACTTCCATTTTCATAAGTCTGTTTGTACATGCTCTTGCCAGTCACTCAGTAACAAGTACTTGGACCGTGCCTGGACTATTTTCCAAAACTACTGGTTGGCTGCCATGCTACTACATAATTTATCTAGCCTAGTAAATGGCTCTTGTTTATAAGAATAATAATAAGAAATCGCAAGAGCCGAAACTGGTTTGGCTCAGTGGAAAGAGCGTCGGCCTGCAGACTGAAAGGTCCCAGGTTCGATTCCGGTCAAGGGCATATACATTGGTTGCGGGCACATCCCTGGTGGGTTGTGCAGGAGGCAGCTGGTTGGTTTCTCTCTCATCGATGTTTCTAGCTCTCTATCCCTCTCCTTCCTCTCTGTAAAAAACAAAATCAATAAAATATATTAAAAAAAAAAAAAAAAAAAAAGAAATTGCAAGAATCCTAAGTGCTGAATTCAGCTTCATTCATAACTCCACACAACACCAAACAAATCTGGCTGAGCCATCCTTCCTGAAAAAAATGAAGCCTACGTTGACATTGGACATAGAAATATGCAAACGAAACTCGTGCCTATAGGTTGCATGAAAAGGTAGCAAGCCAAGACCCTGGGTCTTAGGCAAGAAGCAAGTGGAAAAGTTAGTACCTTGGGCTGCAGAACGAAGAAGTAGCCGATGCCTTTGGCCTGACAGATGAGCTTGCATCTGTCCTTGGGGGAGACCCCAGCATACTTGGGGGTCCACTCCACCGCGGGCCCACTGCCAAAGGACGCCTTGGAGAACTCGTTGTGCGCCTCACACTGCTCCTCCCTGAAGGTTTTTCCTGGAAAGAGAAGGATGGAACGGCGCCATCAGTTTCCATCCCTTCGCTGCCTCCGGGCAGGCACTGCTTCCCGGCCCATTTTCACTCACCGTGGCTGTCCGGACAGTCCTCGATGTTGCAGGATCGGTAGCGCACACGCTTGCCTTCACAGTACTTCCCCCCGTTTTTGGGGACGGGGTTGTCACATTCCCTCATTGTGTACTGAACGCCGCCACCACAGGTCCTCGAGCAGTCTCCCCAGGGTCCCCATGGCCCCCAGCTTCCATGAACAGGCGTCTATGGGGGGACACAAGCCATCCGATTAGAATTCCCTACAGAGATCTTCTTAGGGGATAAAAGAGAAAAATACACGAGACAAGGAATCCATTACTCTATCTTCCCTAACACAGAGTTGGGGTGTTAACGTGCCATCAGACGTGTTGGCCTCCCTGTGTTTGGTTCAGAATTTGAGAGGTGTGTGTGCCTGAGCAGGAAACTCACATCAAAATGCTTCTTGTCGGTCTTGTTCACACACTTGCCGTTGACACACCATTTCCCGTCGCCACAGCTGGTGCCGTCCGCCCAGGGGAAGTGTTTGGTTTGGCACACCAGCAGCCCACCGGAGGTGCCCGTGCACCAGAGGGTCGTGCATGTGCTGGATGCATCCGGGCAGTGTTTGGAGTCTTCCCCGAAGGTAAACTGGCACTGCCGGTTGGCATCGTACAAGGTCCCGGGGAGGTCAGAGGGGAGCTGCATGGGGCTCTGGGGCTTGTCCATCAAACATTCCCCTGCAAACACAAAATAAACAAACACCCCAACCGTTAACCTTTGTCAATAGCTAATAAATGAAAGCAGGTAGCGGATAGATCGATTCCAGCAAATATTTGTCATAAAGAGATAACATATAGCAAAGCTATTTGACAGCATCTTTGGAGAAGATGCCAGAGAAATGTAAACATAAATACACTTAAATGAAGATACTATCCTCAATGGAGCATTTCTGCATTAACCATAACAGGAAGTGATTGTTCTGCTAAAAATTCAAATTCATGTACGTTGGGAATGACTTGGCCAGAAGCGCTATCTTTTATTGGAATTCAGATCTAAAAATGCATGCACTGGGCAGCAAAAGTAATCTGAAAGGAAAACATCAAGAACAACAACAAAAGCAAAAACAAAAACAAAAAAAGAAAGAAAGAAAAATGAGCCTGTTTAATTAGAACATTACAGATAGGAGGCTGGATGCCATGTAGAAAGAGCAGTTGGAGCGTCTCACCATGACCGTTATCCAGGAATGAGGTAATCATGTAGGCGCTGCAGGGAGACCAGGGCTGGCTGCGGTCCAAGTTGGAAAGCATTGACGCCATCATGTGGGAATCCCGGTTGACATTAAGGCTGGCACATTGCTTCGCGTCATCGTGGGGCATGTTAAACACGTGGCCTAGGAAGCAATCCGAAACTCACATTAAAACATAGGCAAATGGGCAGCATTTTATCGCAAATAGGGATATTTCTAGAGAAAAAAAAAAAGAAAAAGAACACCTATTTTGGAGACAATGTCTACAAAATGTCTACATTGTACAGAGTGTAAACAAACATGTACAATCTCCAAATGTCCATAGCTTCCAATGACCTTATTGATATTCTGATAAAGGTGATCATGGTTAGAACAATTAAAAGATATTTTCTGCGATTTCTAAGAAGCCCCGGCACCTAACATAGCAATACAACCTACAGACTCTCTCTCAAGTTGATCCATTTTCAGTTTGAATTCTCAGACTGAGCTTAGCTCTTGACTCCAAATAGACTCACCTAATTCGTGGGCCGTGGTGAAGGCAGCTTGTAAGCCGTCATCTTCTATGACAGAGCAGCTCCTGCTGGGATCACAGACGGTTCCCACGTCAGCCATCCCGAGGGTGTCACATGTCTGGGTGCCACACAGGTCCTACAAGGACAAAGGTGTATCCTGATTACGAGGGATATCCCACAACATGGGGATCTTTCGGGGCAAGGTGCAGCATCACATATGTCTCGGAGCATCTACAGTCATTGTTACTGAGCTGTCCTTCTAGGAAGAACTTCCATCGATAGTTCTTCCTAACTCTACTCACACAGGCCTGTGCAACTTGAGATATTAAAACTGTGGAAGAAACGAGGAGACTGACGGACCGCACTAGCCAATTTAAAAAAAATGCAAGCCGAAACCTGTTTGGCTCAGTGGTAGAGTGTCAGCCTGCGGACTGAAAGGTCCCAGGTTCGATTCCGGTCAAGGGCATGTACCTTGGTTGCGGGCACATTCCTAGTAGGGGATGTGCAAGAGGCAGCTGATCGATGATTCTCTCTCATTGATGTTTCTAACTCTCTATCCCTCTTCTCTTCTGCTCTGTAAAAAATATCAATAAAATAAATAAAAAGAAAAAAGGGTGGAAGAAATGAGGAGACTGATGGACCGCGCCAGCCAATTAAAAAAAATGCAAGTGCCAAGCATTGGTGACATGCCTTAGCGACACTGGTCGCCAAGGGGACCCCCCAGGGGACCGTCACACGTGGCCCTGTCTTCCTCTCACCTGCCTGGTGAAAAGAATCGCCGTGTCATAGTGCTCGGCATCCCGGTCGCTGGGCGGGTTGTGCTGCTTCTGCCAGTTGCAGAAGTTGCGCAGAGTGAGGGCCGCGTTGGAGGTCACCTCTGGTCCCTTCTGCTCCTCGTAGATGACCAGGATCTTCACGACCACCAAGCTCACGGAGTTCCGGATGCTGGGGTGCTTGTACAGCCGGGCGGCCACCGAGAACAAGGTGAGGAGGTAGTTCTTCAGGCCGCTGCCGTGGAACTCAGCCATGGACTGGTCAGCCACCAGCATGGTTTCCACGTAGCGGGGGCTGGACACAAACCGCTTCTTCCTGACGCTTCCACTTCCTGTAAAGGAATAAAAGAAAGAGTCTGCTCAGGGGCCGTCTAGCAGGGAATCACTCCCTCCCCACAGTACTAGCATATAAGGAAAGTCTGACCAGGCAAAACAAATAAGACAAAAATACCCCTAAGGCAACAACAAACAAAAATATTTGCACCTCCGTTCACTGAAAATGTTATTTTTAAAGTTTTCTCCTTGAAATAAAATGGCTATGTGCTTCTCTGAGGGGTCAGGCTTTTTTTTTTTTTTTTTTTTTTTTTTAAGTATTTAGCCAAAACCAGTTTGGCTCAGTGGATAGAATGTCGGCCTGCTAACTGAAAGGTCCCAGGTTCGATTCCAGTCAAGGGCATGTACCTTGGTTGAGGGCACATCCCCAGTGAGGGGTGTGCAAGAGGCAGCTGATCGATGATTCTCTCTCATCGATGTTTCTAATTCTCTATCCCTCTCTCTTCCTCTGTAAAAAAATCAATAAAATATATTTTATAAAGTATTTGTTATTATATATATAATTATATATATTAAAAAATCAATAAAATATATTTAAAAACGTATTTGTTATTATCTATATTTTAAATTATATACATATTTTTTTATTTTTTTATTATTTTTTTTTGTGAGCAGGATTTCTGTTGTCTGCCTGGAAACCCTCCCATCAGAACCAGGAAGGCAGTCTGTCCGCCTTCCTCCCCAGCTGTAGTAAGAACTTGGAGCAGGGGCAGCAGGCAGAGGCCCTGAGTCACTCTTTCACAGGCCAGGGCTCCGATCCTGAATGAGATCATCGGGCTCCACGTGGAAGGCCCAGGGCAGGGCCGGGGCCTCTGCCAAGGGGCCGGCCTCCAGGAATCTCTCAGCCTGCAACTGCTCTGCAATCCCATTCCAGGGGTCCCTGGGGGGCGCTGCTCCTGCCAGATCCAGGCGGAAAGACCACCCACTCCGCCCGGCCGCCTCTTGCCCCACGCCAGCTGCCCCAGGGAAAGAAGTTCCTGCCTCGGATTCAGTCAGGGGCCGGTTAAACTCCTGAAACTCAGCCCCCATCCAGGGACCTGGGCTGGGTGCCCACATCACTGCCCCACGGGGCAGATGTGCTGGGGAGAGTGGAGAACTCTAAAAACCAGACATGCGAGGAAGTCAAAAAGGAGAGCAAAGGCACCAAAGGGAGAGAATGAAAAGAACTGATCGGCTGCTGCACTCCACACAGCAGAGGCAGGGGAAGGAAGGAGAAGCCGGGCTTGGCGGTGACTAACATCCAGCAGAGAGCAGCGTGATGGCCGCGAGGGGGAGCGCACACCGGGGTGGGTGCGGGTGGGAGGCGCGGGGAGGCGGGGCGCAGATCTCCCAAGCAGGCTCTGCAGAGCCCCCGGCCGCCGCTGGTCGTCGGGGTCATCAGCCCCTTCCATGGGGAGGGGGACAGAGGGCGGCCCCACAGAGGTCACAGCGCAGCCGCGCAGGCTCCAGAGCTGCCCGTTTGGAGGTCACCAGCGGCCCCGCGCCGTCCATCCCCGCCCTCCTCTGCGCCCAGGCAGCGGTTGCAAAACTGGTGCAAAGTTGCACCGACCCGAGAGCCCGGGCGCGGCCGTAAAGCGACACGAACCCGAATGGGAAGCAGCTGCACACACGCTCACACTCCACGGAGGTGGGAAGAGAGAGCTGCATTACCCAAACTCTCCCTCTCTGGTCTCCATGCCCCGCCTTCGTCAGCAGAAAAGCCCCTGGGCTGTCTGGCCCTGTCTCGATCATGCATCCTTCAGCCAAACGGAACTAAGAGTTCTGGCAGGACCTCCAGCCCCATCGCCCCCCCACCCTCCCACCCCCCCACCCCCGCCAGGTCTCCGTTCAGCCTACAAACCGGAGTCCCGCGGAGAGAGCAGAGAGAGGGGGATGAATGGAGGGAGACGCGAGGGAGGGTCATCATCCCGCTGGGACGAGTACCTGTTGGCCGCCCCGAGCTCCGCGGCGCGGGGTCCCTGGTGACCCCGGAGTCGTCCTCGCCCTCGGGCCCCGCGCCCCTCGCGATCGGAGCCTCGTCGTCGGTGACCCCGCACTTGGCGCCGCCGCCGCCCCGCCGCCTCCGCCGCAGGAGATGGAACCGGGGCGGCTCCTCCCCGGCGGCGGCGGCGGGGGCGAGGCGCTCGGTGGCGGCGGGCGCGGGCTGGATGAAGAACTCCTCGCCCCGCAGGTAGAAGGCGCCGCGCACGCCCTCGCACAGGCTGATGGCCGCGGCCGAGCCGGGGTCGCCGTCCACGGTGCCGGAGTAGAAGCAGCGCGCCAGGTCGCCCGCGGGGGGCTCGGGGCTCGGGGCGTCGGCGCCCCGCCTGCGCCCTACGGTCTGGAGCGTGAAGCCCGGCGACAGGAAGCCGCGGTCCGGCTGCAGCTCCAGGCTCAGCCGCCGGCCGAAGGCGTCCAGGCGGAGGAGGAGGTGGGTGTCCCCGCTGCCCGGGGCGCCGCGCTCCAGCGTCGGCAGCACCAGCTCCTCGTCCTCCTCGGCGGGGCGCCCGTGCGCGCCCGGGGCGAGCGGCAGAGCCGCGGCCGCTGCAAGGAGCAGCAGAAGTTGCACAGACGCGGACTGCGGACCCCGGGGCCGCCGGGCCAGCTCCGCCTTCCCCATGTCGCCGCCTGCGGGGATGCGCCTTCGGGACCCCGCGGGGACCGCTAGCCGCGCCGGGACCCCCGGAGGCACTGCGCGCAGCGGCGCTCCCAACCGGGAGGCTATTGTTGGGGTCGGGAGAGTGCCGAGAGCCTCGCCGGCCTCGCTCCGGATGCTTCAAGTGAAGTGACTGTGATTCTTTGCAAGTTCACGGAGAGTCGATCGGCCGCGCTCGGGGGGCTCCCGGAGTCACCGGGGAGCAGGCGCTGCAGCTCAGCCCGCGAACGCGAAGTTTTCCTTCTAAAATGCACCGCGTAGCCGGCGCTGGCGGGGACCCCGCGCGCCCTGGGACGCCTCCTGGGCGGGGGGCACCGGGCCACGCGGAGATCGGAGCCTGGAGCCCCGCTTTCGGCTTCCTTCTGCCCGGACCCGGGAGCCGCTCGCTCCGCGCCGCGGGCACTGTCCTCTCTCGGCCGGACCGCGCGACCTGGCTCGGAGCGGCTTTTCCTGCGAGTGCAAGAGCCGGGCACCCGGGACCGCTCTTTTATAGCTTGTAGGACGCCCCGCCACCCCCTCCCCCCCTTCCTCCTCCCTCTTGGCCGCCTCTCCGCCCGGAGACACCGCCCCCTGAAGTCCGTGCTCGGCGCGCGGCGGGCCGGCGGGGGAGGGGACGATCTCCGCGCTGGCTCCGCGCCCCGGACTCGTCCATCCGGGGGCGGGAGACGCCGGAGGGCCCTGCGGCCGGTCCTGCCTCCGCCCGGGGCTGCTCTGGGGAGAGGTGCTCACTCCCACCACCGCGCCTCGCCCGCCCCGCCGGCTTCCCGGACCCCCCGCCCTCCCCGCCGCCCCTCGGGTGCGGAGCGCCGTCCGCTCCTGAGGCTCCCGTTCCCCGAAGGGAGGATGGGGGTGGAAAGCTGGATCCTCTCCTTCAACAAGATCTCCCTGCCCAGGAACTTCAAGATCTCCCTGGCCTCCCCCTCTGACCAACCCCTACCCCCGGGGTTCCTCCTCACCCCCCCCCCCCAGCCTTTTCTAGAAAGGTACCCCAGCACTCCTGGCCATCTCCCGAGCCTGCCAAGGGCCGGTTTGCGCTCTCTCTTCGCCCCAGTTTTTCTAGGGGAAAGCTTGGCTGGCCCAGCGCCTCCCCTAGAAAGCATGCGGGGTGAGGGGGCCGGGAGACACTCCCCAGGCTCTGGAGGGTAACGTGCGTGCGCATTGACCTGCGCCCCTGCTCCTTGCAGCACCGTCTCCCCCTTTGGGCCCCTGAGTGTGGGGATCCAGGGTCCCACTTCCGGAAGAGGTTATGGGGACTGTTCCCTAGAGCCTGGGGAGGGAACTGCTCTTTCTTTTCCTTTCCTATCCGAGAAGCGATGGGCTCCTTCCTGCCCAGCCCGCCCGCTCTCTTCCCCCGCGGCGGCGGCCAGGCGCAGGCCAGGCGGGCGGGGACCTCAGGGAACCCCGCTTTTCCAAGCAGGGACCTGCGGGATCGCTGGGGCTTAGCAAGCGTGCGGTAAGGACTTTAGGAAATCGACTTCCTTCCGGGCCCCTCCCTCTTCCCATCAGGAGTGGGGAAAGGCTGCATCCGTGTTCAGCGGGATCAGATGAGCATTTCCACCGTTAGGTCTCCAAGGAAAAGCTGAGCAGTGCTTCCATCCCAAAGGAGGGAGGGGTCCCGAGACACAGAGGAAGGAAATGTTTCATAATGCTCCTTCCCCCGGCGGAAAGCCGCGGGGACAATGGGGACAGTGGCCGCCGAGACCCAGGCGGACCCCGGTCCCTCCAAGGCGCGCGCCCCGCTTCCTGGGCTTGCGGGGTGTCCGGTCCCAGCACCCCTTCCGCCCCACCTCTGCGTGTCCACCCAGTTTCTCCTGGGCCCTGGCCTCACTCCTCCGCAGATGTTGCCAACTTCATTCTGTCCCAGCTCGAGGCATCCCCTGCCCTCCTCCAAGGCATCCCTCTTCCAGCGTTTGCTTTCACAATCCTTCCCAATGTCGCCTGTTTCCTGGGAGGGTTCTAGGTTGCCTACTTGGATGCTCTCTCTACCCTTCAGCAGAGTTCACCTGAGAATGAGTGGCGCCAAGAAGCAAATCCACTTCACTCTGGGAGAAGTGTACCAGCATTCCCTGGTCCCCACACGTTTAGGGATGCATGTATAGGTTCTTCCATGTGCTTTTCTCTCTTTCTGAAGTTGCTGTCCTAATTACCCGCTGAATGATCAGCGCAGGAATGGCATGTGTTTTAACAGAAGCTCGAGGCCGCTCAGTCACCATCCTTTCTTTCCTTGGCTCTTCCTTTTTCACACTATCAGACATTTGGCCACTGTTTCCACCTACCTCCTTCTACCCAGTCTCTCCTTCACTGCCCTCTCTCACCCCCTTCCATGTTTCCTTCCAATCTGATGGTGACAGACACATAACCACGAGCAGCCCATTCATCTCCACATTGTCTAAGCCTGACTGTTTCTGTCCATCTTTGAGGCGAGATGGACTCCTCCCTGCTTCTCAATTGTCCTTTCCCAAACATCCCCACTTGCCAGTTTTACACCCCCTCTGCTCCGTTATAGGTTTTTAACATCCCATTTTTTAAAACAAATGATTTCATTTCACATGTTCTTTCTAGCTAGCAGAAATGTTAGATACGTGGGAGAACGTTTCAGGAAAAGTCACTGTACACTTGCAAGATACTGACCGGGGTGATGAAAGCAAGATGGCAAAGCCATGGGTACATTTTCAAACCTCTTGCTTTAGAGCAGGGAGCTGAAAACTATGTAAGGTGACCTGCAGTTGGGACCTCAGAGTGGCTTAGTGGTGGGGATTTCAAATGCTTGAGGTGGTCCAGGAGCTGAGATACTTAACAGAGGACTAAAGGTAAAATGTGAGTTCTTGAATGGGGACATGATGGGGAATTCAGAAGACCAGCAACCCATGAAATGTATTCCAAACTGTCACCTCCCTTACGTAAACTTTAGCTTTTCAAATATACGGATGCAAGCTTGGCCTTTAGTTCATGTCCACCCTCAGTGCATTCTTACTGGAAGTTCGTTTAATTCAAGGCATGGATTTCTAATCCTGGATGGTTTATTTCAAATCTATTCTAATGTTTGCATATTTCATGTTATATATTCAGATAGAGATGAGAAACAAAACAAAACAGGCAGTTAAAGGCAAACGGATGGCCAGGAACATGGCTTTTTTATTCCCTAGGTTTCTCTCCAGATTTCTGTTCTTTTGCATAATGACTCCAATCTGTCCTGCACCTGTAGTCCTGGGAAATGGTTCTTTTTTAATCGCTTCAACAGAGGCATGGATGTAGGAATTGCCAATTACTGAGCTTGAAAAACTCCATCCATATGCAGAAGAACATTTAATCTACTTCCTTTTTTTAAAAAGACCAGCACTCTTTGGGCATATGTGGTATTACGTAAATATATATACATATAACACATGTATATTTTTAACAAAATTGTGATGTGAAAACAATATTTTTCTGTGGAAACAAGACCGGCAGAAGTAAAATGTGTTCATGACACTAGTAAACATGACAGGTAACATTGAGTCTTTGTAAGTTTCGCATTCTCCCCCTTATAAAATGTTTGCTCCTTGATTTGAACGACCACCAAAAAGATCACACATAGTGCTAAGACCTACCATGTTTCTGGCTTTCTCTTCATAGAATACACTAGAGGCCTGATGCATGAAATTCGTGCAAGGGGCTTGACCCTTGCAGCCCTGGCTTTGTCCGGAAGGTCATCTGGAAGGACTTCCAGAAGGACACCCAGAAGGTCATTCGGCTATCCAGTCTAATTAGCATATTACACTATTATTATTATTATTATAGATATGCACGTATACAAACATAACCTTAGGTATGTTTTACTTTACAGACCTTGACTAGTTTTTATTATTTGTAGAAAGGAGCTAACCAAAGTTAAAACACTTGATAAAAATATTCTTACAAAGAACAGTTCAAACTTTTACAAGCATTCTTGTCTTCTATTGAATGCTCAAAACATTCCCATTTCTCTATTGAAAGAGAAATGGGAATGTTTTGAGCATTTTCAATTAAAAGAAACAAGTATTTATGCTCACCTACATCTTCTGTGTTTGCATGCGTTTCATATAGTAAGACATAATACTTTACTCGTAATTCCTAAGAAGTTTATATCAAATTAAGTATCCAACAAGTAACCACAAAATGAAGTACATGCAGTATAAGCATTGTTTTAGTGAAAATATTATCTACAGAAATGATTATTGTACATATTTCTTTTAAACATGTGATGCTATGAATCCATATTTTCATACCAGAGGATTTACCAATTAGAAATGGGAAAGCTGTTTGGTAAACCTTCTGGGAACAGATGGTCTAAAGTAAGATTAAACAAAATGGACATTTCATTTGATCATAAATGAGAAAATAGATACCGAACATTTACTGTAAGCATGTCATATACTCAGAAATATAACCATGTTGAAAACAGAAAAATGCATGTAAATTGTATTTGGACTACAAATGGCTATGACCTGAAAATCATGCATTTGCTATAACTGAGAAAAGTGCAATTTGTGCAACCACTTTCCTTGTTTCAGGATATTGAATTATGCCTCAGGGGTCTGCCTTCAAGATAAACAAAGTTGGGGGCTTAGAAATGACTGTGACTCTTAATGTTTAATCAAATGCCTTTTTGGAATTTTAACTACCTAATTGTGTGGTAGGTTATGAATGTTGTCAGACTCATTACTGCTGTTGTTTCCAATGATTACATTTCATATAAATTCTAACTAGGAACTTTCTGGCAATAACAATTCCACCTTAAAAGATTCACAGCTTTTAGTACCTCCTTTGGCCCACAAGGTGGCGATGGTCTACAGCAAATGATGTACAACTCAGTTTCTCTTAATGTCACAGGTCCTGAAGTTACAATGTGGGTCACACCTTTTTTCATTTAATACAGTTTTATCAAATTGTCAAATTCACCTTTTGGTATCATAGAAAATACATTTTAAACATGATAACTTTAA